ATGAACATTTTCTTTCCCGTCATTAATTACTACCTGGTTTCGCGTGGCGGCTATAGGACTTCCTGTATTTGCATGTACGTCTGATTTGCCACGAATGTGTGCTCTAAGGCAGAATTTTGTAGCCACAGTAGCTTAATATGGAAGGGTGTAGAATTGTATTCAGGGAGATAAACCGTTGTAAAACGAGTCTTCTTAGAATATATATTTATTTTGTGAAGACTGTTAGATAGTAGACTTTTTCTCCTTAGAGGTTAACATTCATTTACTGACTGTTTGATTTATAATCACTTGTAATTTTTGAGTGCGTTTGTCGTACAAGCGTACAGCTTTACAGCTCAAGGCAAGTCACGTCAAAAAGAACTCTCTGCTGGGATAATTACCGAAGAACAAAATGCTTCTCTGATGAAGCTATTACTTTAATTCCAACGTAAGCCCAGTGAAGCTCACTTAGAAGCTTACGTTGGACTGGTACAGTTGGCCAAAGTCGCTCTTTGGGTTCCTGCCACATCGGATATCGTCTCTTGCGAACTCAGATCTATAAATCACGATCCTAAATCTAGCTCGTCTTATCCTTATAACACGTTTTTCTATTCCAGGGCTTTCGTCATCATTGTATTAAGTACATCTGTGTAGAACTGTATGGATTTATTTATTTCGTTGCATCCATTATATTCATACAGCTCAGTACAGGTAACGGAGCCTATCATATGATCACATACCAGGCACTAAATGAAATCTTTGCGCTACCGCGATTTTCATTAATTGGAAAGCCGATATGCTAGGTTTGACCATCGAATTTGGCCATACCAATGGTATAGCATACAAAGTCTACCAACATCATAAGTAAATAATTACATATTGTAAAAATAGCACCTACTTAACTGCGGACTACGGTTTGATTGAGACTTCGTTAAACGGGCAACCCTATCTAGCACCATGCCAACTAGACGTTAATAGTGCACCAATTTCGCGGCAATTAAATTCATACTATTTTGATTGATTTTCTCTCTTTTACTTTGGAGGACTCAGCATCTTTAAGACTAATGAAAAGACGCCGTAAACTCAAACATTTCAGTTTCAGTGATCTTCTTTTATAAATTAAATATCGCGTCCGCATTAGCACCATAATTGCGGAGTTAGTATAGCAAAATATCTCATTTTCAAGTATGAATCTTTGAGCTTTGATCAAAGTTGGTTAAGTTTGAGAACCCACTTTGGTTTGGTGATTTTAATACGTAAATAAGTCAGTCTGAAGGGAGTAGCAATAAGTATCAAAATCGTATAGTTCTCTATAAAGAAATTGACATTTTAGATAGTTACGGATAGGTGCGTTACTGAAGCACCAACGACGCGTACATCAAGAAACGTTGTTAGCTGCTATGTCTAAAACTCTGTGAGGTGGAAACGAAAAAGGTATGATTGAATAATCACGAGCAGATTATTTATATTAATTGATGAATCATAAGCGTCCATACAAAATCCAAACCATAAACTGTTTTTTCAATGACGTGCATACTAATTTCGAAGAGATTCACAGGAACCATTCACGTATAGGCCACCTCCTGTAAAATTTTCGCAAAGAGGTAAGCTCTCAATTAATCTTTAAAAATGTATACGTTACGAACATTGTCAAAACGAATCCCACCATTTTGAAATTTTTGGGTGTGTTAACTACCCCGAAGAAATAACCAGCTAAACTCTGCTGGTTGATCTGACAGAGTTTACTTGTAAACTAGCAATCCTTACAATCAATTGTGTATATAGGTAGCGTTCGTTTATAGCTTCAGTTGACCGGACTCGATCTTATTCTTATCTCGATCTTACTCGATCTTATCTCTTCTGTATTTCTTTTTTTAGGAATAATTGCTATAAAATAGTATACGAAATCTACAAACGACTGTCGACGACAAATACATATTCATATTAATGCAGTAATTCAAAAACAGCGCCACTGATTAATTAAGCTTGGTTATGGCTTGATTAGGATGTCACAATGGTCTGATGAAATTATAACTAATCTGCTGATACTAACACTATGTATACTCGGGTTTTGCTGGAGTTCACCTTATGCAAACAAACGTTTGGTCTAGGAAAAATATAAGTATAAACAAACTAAATTTAAATGATAAAGAGTGAATAAAAATGTCTGGAATCCCCTGGTTACCCTAAATTCCATAAGACATTGAACTGTTAGAAAATATTTGAACGTATTGTCAAACTATAAATTAAATATGCAAAATATTTCTTAGGTTTTATTTAAATTTTAGAAACTGTTTTTTTCTCTTAATGTCATTATAGAGAAAATAAGAACTCTGTCAATAGACACACGTTTATTTGGTCACTTATGTCCCCAGCACTAAGAGACAGTGTAAAGAACATTATTGCAATCGCGCATTTCATGACGAGTAGATAAAGCTGTGAATCAAATCTTCCCGTTACTATTCAATCGGAGTAAAATGCGTCGTGATTATTGAATGATATAATAGTTATCTGAGAATGGAGTTCATATTTGCGGGTACACAATATTAATCGAAACTAGATAAACCTTTAAGAAAGATAACAGTCATTTAGCGTGCTTCGATTTTTTGGATAGATTCGTTGCAGAAAAACTGCCCATTTTAAAGGATAAAATTAATGTCCCAGAGACGAAAATTATTATGGCGTACGAAGTGCTTCTGCAAAAGGCGAGTGCCACGTTTCGTTTTAATATAAACCAATGCCTTCGGCACTGATCCGAGTTGGCGGAGCTTTGCTGTCCGCTTGTTGGTTAAACAGCTGAATACATTGCTTGGATAGATGATTTACCAGTTATGATCATATATGCATTTTTAACCAGTTTTCAGCTTACTCCAACAGAACAGTATGACGTCATTTTTGAAGCACTACACCCTTTGTGAAAGCCCAAAGCTGGTAGTGAATCTCCGTTACTCTATATAGCTTTGGTAATCGTTCGATTAAAAAACTGTTGTTTTTCAAGTAATGATTAATGATTCGTCCTCCTAAATATCCGATCGCTAAATAACATTGAACTCATAAGAAGCCGCAGGGTGTGCACCTTTTACTTTTATATTATATATTATTTTATATTTCTTTACCTTCGTAACCATACCTAGTTGACTCAAGTTACAACCCCTACGTAAAAATGTCTAAATATAAATGAAGGAAATGGAAAACAATAAACGTTTGCTTGACACAACAGGAATTTTTATTTTGTTTCTCTTTTTTCTCTCGTAATATTGTTTCACTATGTTCAGCTTATTCCACTGTGGCTTCACCCTGCATTTTTCTTTTTTTATCAACAGTAGCTATCTTTCCTTCATCACTT